GAAGGAAGGGCAAGAGAGAGGAGGGGAGGGAAGGGAAAGGGAGGGGAGGGGAGGGCAGGAGAGGGAAGGGCAGGGGAGAGGAGGGAAGGGCAGGGGAGGAAAGGGGGGAAGGGCAGGGGAAGGCAGGGGAGGGAAGGGGAGGGGAGGGGAGGGGAGGGCAGGGGAGGGAGCTGATTCTCATAATGTGAAAATGGATGGTTTCCCCGAAGAGTGCCAAGAAAATCCACTGAACAAATAGAAAAATGTGCAAGAGATAACAGAAACAACCTAAATAGCAAGTAAGCTATGAAAACTGTTAACCTAGTCGTATCTGGACACATAAAGTTTAAACCAATTAAGACTTCTTGGAGCCAGACGGGTCCATAACCAGCCAGGCAGAAACTGTACATTCCAGATAGACTGTTGCTTGTGTGTTTTTTTCTTTGGGTTATCTTGAAGTGTCTTTTGTAGTAGCCAGCAAATATTCCAGAACAGTCTAACTGCTTGCTAATAAAGAGCTGGGTAAAATGTTACGCAAATAATGTCATTTGTGTAAGAGTTTAAAGTACAAAAACAGCACTGAGAACTACTTACGCATAGCTTGTAGGTGTGACAATATACTGATGTGTAAAAACCTCAGAAAGCGTGTATGAAATCCTAGATTTAAAAAAGAAAGAAAGAAAAACAAAAGAAATCCTGGATTTTTGATCCCCAGGACTGAAAAAAAAAAAAAAAAAAAAAAAAAAAAAACCTTCAAAATGTTAGTTACCTCTAAAAGGCAAGAAGGAGGAGACTGAGACTGGGGATTAGAAAAAAAGAAACGGCATCTGTAATATTTTAATTTTTAAGTCATACAGAATAGCTCCAGTAAAATGCAAAAATACTTAAATGTGCTCACTGTGGATGGTGAATGGTTTCCAGTATTCTGTCTATTTCTGCACTTTAAAATATGCTTCATAGCGTGTCTCTGAAGCTGAGTGAAGGGAGCACAGGCAGGGTCCATCCTCCTAACAGCTGCCTGCCACACGCTCCTCCTGACGGAGGTGTGCCTGCTTTCTTCTATGACACAGAGCAGGTGTGACACAGCGCAGTGCCACATTTGAACTCAGCACTTGTGCCAGGGCTTCTGCCTGGTTCCAGTTAAGTCACCTCAGATACGAAAATGGTAAAGTCAGAGAGGCCAGGAACTCGAAGCCAACCAGGAGTGGTGTTGGGAAGTGAGTTTGTCTGGAGCTTGGTGTGCACGTTCCTTCTTTCTCTTTAGTCCTGAAGCACAGTCTCCCCACCAGCTCCCAGGGACGGAAGGTGACGGCACTTGGCTCCCTTCCACTTTCACTATCGCCATTCATTTTGGAGGAGCAATAGTTAGCGGATTTGTTTCAAACCACGTCCTGCTTGCTGCAAGCTGAAACCCAAAGCATTTTGGCATCTCATTAGCGTTTCCACCCCCACCTCATTGTGCAGTCATTTACAGGTGTCTGAGAGTGAGATCCAGGTTGGAAAATGAGCAATGGACATGGTTTATCTAAGGATAATCATCCAGGTATCTGGGTCAAGAGGCCCTCCCCCCAGGTCCCATATGGACACTGCTTTTTACTCCTTTCCTGCTTTTGTTCCAGAAGAGAATGGAAGGGGTACAGAAGCACAAATACGGAGCCCTGGAGGCAGGTAAGAGTCTACCTCAGTTCTAAAGGAGCCCTAGCCTTGGACAGAGCCTCTCTCCTCTCCCCACCAGGGCCCACATCACACGCAGGGACAGAAATGCAGTTCTTTTAGACTGAAGAAGGCAACTGGCATTTTCCCTACCTCCCCAGCCCTCTTGTGTCTGACTGACAGCTCCTCATCCATTGCCCGGCGGGATGCCCTCCCGGTACACTGCGTGGAGGACAGTGGAAGCAGCTCAAGTCAGAGGCAGAGAGCGTGGAGCTGAAATCGGAACAGTTTCTCTTTTCATGTCTCCTCTAAGCTGAATAAAAGACAAAGCTATCCACAGAAACATCCCAGAATTATTTAAGGAAAGAACCAACACAGAGCAGAAGGAAAAAAATAATGGATTTTTAGGAGCCTAGAATGTACTTAGAATTCAAGTGGCTTCCCAAAAAATCTAGAAAACCTGGATTCTCCCCCATTTGGTATTGAAGATGTTAGCCCTTGCCTTGGGGTTTTCCTCCCCAACACCACTTTCATTATACTTCCCGCGCTTTTCTCTAGCACACAAATGATCTTCCCACGTGCCTCCCTCCACTGGTCTTGTCCTCCCCTCTTCTTCAGCCAGCCAGAGAGCTTTGTCTCAACAAAGGTTTGTCTTATCTGTGAGACTCTCTGCCTTCAACCTGAAGCACCACTCGCTCTGGAGAGCAAAGAGCCAGGATGTTCAGCTGGCCCTCGGCGGGGGTGGCTGCACTCTGCCCTGTGGGTTGGGGGGCCTGGGCCTACACAGAGTGCTGGGGACTTGCGAGTGAAAGAGCAATGATTACACTTGCTCATTCCCTTGTCTCACAGTCTGCCTACTAATCTCCCCTTTGTTTAGAAACAAGTCACTGTGGGACTACCCCAAATACCACCAAGGAAAGGCAGTGAAACTTTTCTTGCAGACAGGAAATATATTGGCCGTGATCCAGATAAGGTAGAGAGAGGCTCTGTAGGGTGGCAGCGCTGACCCCTCAGCAATGCATCCAGACATAGGCTCAAGTGGGGGACCCATAGGACACCTCATGCGGACGCTGGGATGCACTGCAATATGATCTTTCCGGAAAGGATGTGCACCACTGTCTACAGTACCCTGGAAATCTGTGACCTCCAAGTCCAAAGTCTCATTCACTTAGCAAAGCACCCAAACTTCTTTTCCCACAGGCAGACTGGAAGGTCAGAGCTGTGAAGTGCTTCTCCCATGGAGGATCATCCTGGTGGGCAAGACAGGCAGTGGGAAGAGCGCCACAGGCAACAGCCTCCTCTGCCGCCCAGCCTTTAAGTCCAGGCTGCAGGCCCAGTCTGTGACCAGTGAGTGCCAGGATGAGAAAACCATGTGGGATGGGAGGACCATCCTGGTGGTCGATACACCCCCCATCTTTGAGGCAAAGGCCTGGACCCCAGAGACATACAGGGACATAGGAGACTGCTACCTGCGGGCAGCTCCGGGGCCCCACGTGCTGCTCCTGGTGACCCAGCTGGGGCGCTTCACGGCCCAGGACTCCATGGCAGCGAGAAGGGTGAGGGAGATCTTCGGGAAAGAGAGCACGAGGCATACGGTCATCTTGTTCACCCACAAGGAGGACTTGGGGCACGAGTCCCTGGACCAGTACCTGGCCAACTCAGACAACCGCAGTCTGCAGGCCCTGGTGCAGGAGTGCGGGAAGAGGTACTGTGCCTTCAACAACCGGGCGACAGGCCGGGAGCAGCAGGACCAGCTGGCTGAGCTCAGGGCGGTGCTGGACAGGCTGGAGCATGAGCTGGAGGGCTGCTTCCTCAGCAACGACCTCTTCCTGTGGGCGCTTGTGCTGTGGCAGGGCGGGGATGCTGCCCTCCGGGAAGGCCACGGTCGCTACCTGGCCCGGGTGAGGCAGCAGGTGGAGAAGCAGAGGCGAGAGCTGAAAGAGTTGGAGAGCAACTGCGTGTGCAGGCCATTCCTCAGAGCCCAGACCTGGATAGGGTCTCCTATTGTAATATTTGCCTTTCTTCTTATAATTTGTTTGATTTTGCTTGCATTTTTACATGACTTTGGTATTCCTCAGAGGAAATGAGCATTTTCTGGTAATTTCTACAATAAGATGTTTCTGGTTTTTTCCAGGTTCTCTATCTCAGTTTATGTGTGTGTGTGTGTGTGTGTGTGTGTGTGTGTGTGTTGCTTTACATTTTATGCAGTTTCACTCTATGTTTTAATTTCTTACATGAGACATGTTATATAGTTTCCTGAAAGTACTTTTGGGTAAATAACCCGAAGCAAAACTTTCGTGTTCTTGTTTAGTTAAAAATTATGATAAAGAAAATGTGGTATCTACACACAGTAGAGCACCTCTGTGCTGTAAAGAGGGATACATTCGAGTCATTTGTAGGTAGATGGATGAATCCTAAAACCAGAACGTTACATGAAACAAATCGGACACACAAGCCTAAAGAGGCCCTGGTTTTGTTTACATGAGAAACTCAAAGTATAAATAAGTCACAAAGTAAACTAAAAAATATATGCAGTGCTGCCCGGGTCCATGAATGCTTTTCTTCCCAAACAATCTGGTTCACAAGTTGAAGCTTTTGGCAAAAATTTTTTTTATTTGCAAACTCTGCATCGGGTGACATCTTTCTCACGCTGTCACAAAACATAGCCAAAATCGTGGAACAAATTAAGCTCATTGGCTGGGAATCACTGTAATAGAGATGGGAGACAGATCTTTTGCAGATGGGCATGGTGCTGTTATGGTGTGTATCTAAAGTTGTTCCCACAAAGCCTCATGTAAATCATGCTGCTGGAGGGGCAGCAGGGGCTCGAGGGGCGTGGCCAGAGGAGCAAGGCGGGGCTTGAGGGGGCGTGGCCAGAGATGTGAGAACCGTTAAACTGACAGCATGTGCCCCACCCCCAGTCCCCCAGGCCTGGTGGCCTCTCTTGGAGGTATGGAGCAGATCATCCTGGACACGGCGGCGTTCCAGCCTCTCTTCCAGACCCTGTAGCGAGGGACAGCAGTGTCTCGAGGTCTTACTATGTAATTCAGGCTGCTTTAAACTATGAAACTTCCAGTTAAGTTAAATAAACCTTTCCTTCCCTAAGCATGAGTGTCAGATATTTGTCCCAGCAACGAGAGAAAAGCAACTGGTGGGGAAGTGGAGGGACACGCAAAAAGCATGAAGATGTGCTGCGTGTGTCTGCCAGCTCCCCACGGGGAATGCGATCACTACCTTCGCAAAAACAGACTACATAAGCCAGCCAACCAATCAGTCAATCAACCAGCCAATCAATCAATCAATGGGGAAGGTAAATAGCAAACTAGCTGGGTAAGGACCATTGCGAAGTCTCTGGAGGCTTTCAGGAAGGCGGACTAGGGCACCGTGTAGCCCTGAGCCCCCGCTTTCTATCGATGTGATGTTGGGAGCAGGAACATGCCTCGCAGAGCTGGCAGTGGAGTGGGCATTCTTATTGTAATCATAAGCCTTACTAGATGTCATCACAGGCTGCAAATGCTGGTGCCCACTCAGCCCTCGGTGCCCTCGAGGGAGATGTGGTGGTCTCACAAGCACACCAGGGGCTTGGGATGAGGAGGAGGACGGGGCAAGGGTCCTGTGCCTGAGGGACAGCAGAGCAAAGGGTCACAGCAGCCGTGCCACATGGAACACAGGCTCCACAGCCGGGAAGCATGGAGCAGGGGATACAAAGGGCCACACACAGGCAGGCATCCTGCTTCATGGGCTACTTGATAGACGGCACGGCCACTAAACTGGATGACAAAAGTGATGATGAGCGGGAGGCCACGTGTCCCCTAAAGCTGGCAGAACACCGAATCATGAACTTCATGTCACATTCATGTGTGAATGTGACACGGGCCTCTTCTTCTAATTTCTTTAACCATGTAAAAATGTAGCTGTCCTGTATGGTCATCAGCAAATGAATGCGCAAAGAAAATGTGATGTTCACTCACACCAGGGTACTACTCGGTCATTAATAAAGGTGAACTTGAGTCTTTTGTAAGGAAATGGAGACCATAACAATAAGTGACAAAAATCAGATGCACTGGTGTGTCACATAGTTTCTCCTACATGAGAAACCCGAAGTATAAACGAAGAGTGAAACAAACCTCTGTTTCCTACTGGACAGTAGGAAAGCAGGAGCTACAGCCCCCTCAGAAGGGTGAACAAGAGATGGAGGAGGTAGGGAGAAGGGGAGGGCAGGGTGTGCAAGGCCTGAAGACACGCTGTGCATGCGTCCCTGCTTCCCAGGACTGTGATCATTGGGTGCCACAAGCACGGATTAATAAGTAAAAAAGTAGAAAAGGTACAGGCCTTCCCTCCCTCTCAGCTGCATGAAGAGGCCACCGGCCAGGTCTGGGGCTGCCTTTCTTAAATTTCTCACTGTTGCCTGGGATGCACTGGCAGGTAACAACTTTAACCCAAAACTCAGCACAATCCTGGGCAATCCCAAGCAATGCCTGGGGGGCCCTAGAGGAGGAGCGGTGCCTCACATTCCAGCAGTAGGAAAAGGAAGATGCCGGGGCTGGCGTTGGGGTCAAGTACAAGCACAGGTCGCAGCACTCTGCTTTACGGTAGCTGCCACCTCCTCGGCTTCCTGCGTGCACAGCGACGGTTCCATGCCTGAGCAGGGCATGTTCTGTGTTAGCTCTTTGGGCCCTGGGAACCCGGAAGGACTCTGTGTGCTCAAACTAAGGACCATAGCTTAACACAGGCTCTGGGCTGCTCCCACCTGGCTCAGCCTGTCTTCTCCTTGGCCAACTTCCATGCGACGTCATACACACTTTATCATGTACATCGTGAGTACCAGGGTCTCTGCTCAATGCCAAGAAGGTGAGACAGACAATGACAGGGTTCTGCCCCATGACAAGCAATGTGGGTACAGGGAGAAGGACAGAGAGAGATGGGTGGCACAGGACCAGGACAGGAGTCACATTCAGGGGAAAAGATGCCATCCTGGACCTCGGGCCCGGGTTGTTCCACTGGCATTGGGCATGGAGAGCTGGACAGACATGGGAGGTGCTAAAAGGGGGATCTGTGCGAGGCAGGCACTGACGGAGCATCGGGGAGGGAACCTGGGTGGTCACCACCTAAAAAGCAGCTGTTTTCGCAGCAGGGATGAAGAGAGGGTTGAGCAGAGCCAGGTTCAGCCTCTGGCCTGGATGTGCCACCATGAAGCCCCTCGGTTCCTGTCCAGCAGGCGGGGGGTGGAGGGACCTGCCCATCCTCCCGCTAGGGAAATCTTTCTGATCAGGCACAAGTTGGCCCCACATGAGTACCAAGGAACAGATGCCTCCCTCCTGGGATGTGGATGGCTTTCTCCCAGCCTCCTGGGCCAGATGCAGTCCACCAACAGGGGACTTTTCACTCGAAATGGTGTTGCCGGATACCCATGAACATCACCCTTGCCAACTTCAGAGGACCAGAGCTGGGCTGTTTTGCAGGAGGGAAAGAGCCAGGACCCTCCTGGTGCTTCCTCCAGGAGAGCACTGGTGAAGGATTCCTTGCAGTGTGCAGAGCTCAGCTCACTTTTCTTGGGCCGCTGCTAACTGATGCCTAAAGCTTGGGAAAGCCCTGCCTTTGCCTCCACATTCCCTCCATCCCTTCACACTTTCCGGAGTGCTTTGCCTTATGCAAGGTCAGTGACTGTCTCCTGCAGTGACTGTCTCCTGCAGCACGTACCACAGCTAGAGATAGGGGGATTCTTCCTAAGGCCAGGAATGAGAGAAGACAAACCTGGTCCCTCCCTCTGGCACCACTTCCTCAAAGAAAGCAAAAAGACAGGGAAGTTCTGATGGTCTTAAAGGATAAAAAAGGAATGTGAGAAACTCTTCACTAGTTCAAATGCTTTTAAGTACAGATAAGAGTCCCTAAGACTCATGTTGCTTACAAAGTTAAGAAATTTGTTGGCTCACATAATTGAAAATGCTGAGACAGGGTAGGGCTGGGTGCTTCAAGGGCTTGTTTTTGTTCCATCTTCCTGTTCTGCTTTGAAGTTTTGAAGTTTTGCTTCTACCTCAAGTTGAGAGCAAAACAGCTGCTGAAGGTTCATGCACCACACCCAGAACAAATTTGAAGCTCTGGGCAGAGGTAATAATGGAAAATCCATGAGGAAGAAAGGGACCCCGAGTGCTGTCCAGACACACAGTGCCTGCAGACCGCGAGGTGACTTCTGAACCAGGGACACTCACAGCAGTGCATAGATGAGGCGAGGCAACACTTTAGAAAGTGCTCTAAGATTCAAAGTGTAACACTTTAAAAAGTATGATGAGAAGAATCACGAGAATAAGTAAGCTGCCCAAAACACAAGCAGCACAGATCTTTTTGTGTAAAAGCACCCAGGTCTGGGCTCTGAGGAATGGCCTGCACACGCAGTTGCTCTCCAACTCTTTCAGCTCTCGCCTCTGCTTCTCCACCTGCTGCCTCACCCGGGCCAGGTAGCGACTGTGGCCTTCCTGGAGGGCAGCATCCCCGCCCTGCCGCAGCAGGTGGGCCCGCTGGAAGAGGTCGTTGCTGAGGAAGCAGCCCTCCAGCTCATGCTCCAGCCTGTCCAGCACCGCCCTGAGCTCAGCCAGCTGGTCCTGCTGCTCCCGGCCTGTCGCCCGGTTGTTGAAGGCACAGTACCTCTTCCCGCACTCCTGCACCAGGGCCTGCAGACTGCGGTTGTCTGAGTTGGCCAGGTACTGGTCCAGGGACTCGTGCCCCAAGTCCTCCTTGTGGGTGAACAAGATGACCGTATGCCTCGTGCTCTCTTTCCCGAAGATCTCCCTCACCCTTCTCGCTGCCATGGAGTCCTGGGCCGTGAAGCGCCCCAGCTGGGTCACCAGGAGCAGCACGTGGGGCCCCGGAGCTGCCCGCAGGTAGCAGTCTCCTATGTCCCTGTATGTCTCTGGGGTCCAGGCCTTTGCCTCAAAGATGGGGGGTGTATCGACCACCAGGATGGTCCTCCCATCCCACGTGGTTTTCTCATCCTGGCACTCACTGGTCACAGACTGGGCCTGCAGCCTGGACTCAAAGGCTGGGCAGCAGAGGAGGCTGTTGCCTGTGGCGCTCCTCCCACTGCCCGTCTTGCCCACCAGGATGATCCTCAAGGTCAATAACCCCACAGTGCAGCCCCTTTCGCCTCCATCTGCTGCGTGAGAAGTTACTGTGTAAGAAAGGCTTTGAGACAAACAGCACAAAAGATAAAGCCCCAGAAGAACTCGAACCCTAGACCAATTAGGGTGCCTCCTCCTCTCCTCCTGTCCCCGACACCCACGTGGAATGACTAAACAGACCGGTACAGGGTTTGTGGGGAAAATTGTCCCAGCCAGCCAGAGCCCAGGCATCTTTCCCCCAGGGCCTGTGGACCCTGCCGCCCTTTCTAGATCCATCCTCAGTTCTGGCCCAAGCCCTCCATGGGCTGCCCCTGGAGGCTCAGAAGCTCCTGCAACACTGGGCTGCATGCCCCTGAGTTTCTGCTCCTCCCATCGTGTTCGGACCCTGTTTCAGAAGGTAGCAGGCTTTTATCTGGAAAAATGTGTCCCCCAAAGGCACAATACAGCAACTGATGGCCCAATATGCACACAGGGCAATATCCAGCCGGCTGGCTCTGCCTCAGGGTACACACACCCTGTGACTCTCGGTCTCTCAGGTGGAAGTTTGCCCCAGCGCTTGATGGCGCCCCAACCTGCTGAGAAGCGCCCCTGTGCAGGGCGGTCTCCTTACCTGTGGGGGTGGCATCTTTTCCACCTTTCTGAAGCACTTTGATATTTTCCTACAGAGGAAAACATACAGGGATTTTTCACACTGAGGTTGGATGTGATACACAGCACACAACGTCATGTCTTATCCTGGAGGGCACTGAACAAGAACGTGAAAACCAGAAGCCCTGCTGAGGTCACACGCTACAGAGCTGAGGCTGAGACGCCTGTGCGCGGGGCCCCGGATGTTCCCAGCAGTGGTCTGGGCTTCCTGCTGAAGAAGGCCCAGAGAGCCCTGAAGGAAGCCCTGCGCATGTGCACGTCCCCTAACCCGGTGTCCAGCAGCTGGGGCCGCGAGCGCAGGCCATCACCCAGAAGACCAGCAGGCCAGCCGTTTCCTACAAAGCCTGTGGCCGTCTGGTGTCCTTCCTTTACCTTTACCACCTCAGTGCGGCTATCCAATCTGAAGTTGGCCTGGTAATTTTTAACTTCCTCCACAAACTCCCAGAACTCTTTCCCAAGTCCCACGGGGCGGAGGCACGGAGGTGGCCACCATCCTGGTGTGCCCAGGACCCTGTACTGGAACTTGGGACTGCCCCAGGCCAACCAGGAGGGCAGGTCAGCTCAGGCGGAGGAGGCTGCCAGGAGGCCAGGCTGAGGGCGACTCCAGCAATCAGAGGGAAGAGCTGACCTGTGAGGCTCGGGGCGGCGTGTTGCGCCGAAGGACAGGTAAGGGCTTCCCTGTTCCTGGCACGGTCTTGGAGCAGTGGCTGTCCCCGGAGCCTCTCTCCTGCCGCCCGTGGCCCTTCGTGCACTGTCATAGTCACTCTCCTCACCGCTGGGGGAAGTACCTGACACCCCCGAAGAGAAGGAGGAGTTTAGGCCGGCTCCTGGTTATGGTCCAGGGCGGAGCAGAGGAGGAGCTGCCCGGTTCATGGCACCCAGGAACAGAGCCAAGGGAGGCGCTGGGAGGGGAGGCGCAGCCTCCCAGGTCACACCCCCTGGGACCTCCTCTTCCACCCAGACCTCATCTCCTAACAGCAGTCAGCTAGAAGCCCAGTAATCCAGCCACTTGCCAAAGCCCACCTCTGAGTGCGTGAGGCCCTTAGGGACTACCTCGTTAGAAACCACGGCGTGCCGCTCTCTGGTGGCCCTTGTTTTGCCCCCCCCCCCTTCCTGCACTCCATAAGCTTCCATCTAGCTGGAAAAATGACTTCCCAGGACCCCCAACCCTTCCGAGCCAGCTCAGGACCTTGCTGAGAGCACAGCTTGGGGGGCTTCCCCGCAGCAGTTCAAGGAATGAGCTCTAAAAGTAGCGTCTTAGAATCTTAAGGTCTACAATGGGCCACCAGGGAAAAAATACTTTGGGGGACAGGTGGGCTTTCTCAGTACTTGTATATGGGGGGCACACCCCTGAAGAGGTCAGTTCCTCCAGAAACTGGCCAGAGACATGAAGTGGCAGGTAACTGCGAGGCCATGAGCGTCAAATGTCAAAACCAGCTTCCAGCAGACTGCCCCCCAGCTACTCGGTCACTACTGCTCTGGGGGTGTCGCAGCTGCAGAAAAGAGAGACAGCAGAAGCCTCCTGCCTCTTGGACTCTGTCTTTCACCCCAGAGAAACTGCTCTAATCTGGTTTGCAAAGCCCACCCCAGACAGGTGCAACTCGAAAACGAGCTGTCTACACTGAGGCACCCAGGCACTGGTTTTGACTCAGGTCCTGTTGCACGTGTAATTCAGCACTGGTCTTTGGTGTGGAAAACAACCTGTGAACATTTTCTTCCCTTGCCAGTCCATAGAACTTTGAAACTGAGCGAGGGAATCAGCCTGTGTCAGCTTGACCAGCCCATGGCACGTGGCGATCTAGTCTGACCCAAACGTTGGTATGAGGTTGTTGTGCCGATGTGGCTGAAGTTAATTAAAGATTACCACCCCCCGTGACAAGGTGGGCCTTGTCTGATCAGTTGAAGGAGCAGAACTGAAGCTTTATGGCAGAAGGAATTTTGTCACAAGGCTGCAGGATTCGTTCCTGCCTCAGTTTCCAGCCTGGAAGCCTCCCTGTGGAGTTTAGAGTCACCAGACACTACCACTATATAAGCTAATTCCTATAAATCTCTGGAGATACCTATCCCAAAGTTTCTAGGTCTCTAGAAAATCTACCCCATAGTCAAAGCTATTCCCCGTACCAAAACTCAGGACAAAGAGCCTGAACCCCTTCTTGGTTTTTGCGGGCTTTCCTGTTTTTCAGGGAGGAGTTTCTGAAGATATGACCACATGAAACATCTTGTTTGCAAAGCTGGTGGCTTTGAAACCAAGACTGTTCCCCATCCCCTGCCCCCACACTGTCCCTGGATCACCTTGAAAAGTGGTCTCCAGGGAGACAGCAGGGGGAGCTTCCCAGAAGGCCCCAGGTAAGCAGCAGGGAAGTCTGTGCTAAGGGGCAGGAAGATTCCACAGAACAGGCTGGAATGGGCTGGGAGAAGGCTGGGGTTGGCGGTGCTAAGTTCAGAAGACAGCGGTCACGGGGACCCTGAAAATTCTTAATTTCTTTTTGTTGAGACAGGGTCTCACTACGTAGTTTGGACTAGCTTTGAACTCACTATGTAGCCCACGCTGGCCCTGCACTCCACAGTCTTCCTGCCTCAGTCTCCTGAGTGCCAGGATTCCAGGTGTGCACCTCCATGCCCAGCCCTGCAAATGCTCACGGCATCCCCACTGTAAGGCAGCCAGGGCACAGGGCTCGACTGAAGCCAGGCAGCCTGAGCCTCACTCTGGGCCAGCTGGGCGCAGGACAGGGTCACCTATGGCCCCACTTCCCCAGGGCCCCTGGCATCGCAAGCTACTCACATGATGTGTTTGGTCGAGCGACTGGCAGCAAGCCATCTCCTCCAGGAATGGGAGCCTTCAATCCCTGCGTTCTCAGAATCCAGCCTGAGCAAAAAAACGAAGCGAAAGCAGGGGAGGAAACATTGAGGGTTTCTCATTTCCATAATGATATTTTTGGACTTTTATTTTCTCTCCAGTCCAACGTTGCCTGCCTAGTCTCAGTCACCACCCTGTGAACCAAATGACTGTCATGATTTCCCAACTCTACCCTACCCCTGCTTTGTCCCCTAAAGAGAACCTTGCTGGGACTTCACTGCGCTAGCCGCCAGCCCCCCTTGATCACTTCCTGTCCATCAATTCTCCTGTCAATGCATTCAATGTTGTTAGGTAGCTCTGTTTACCAGATAGCACCTGGCCCAGGAGGACGCTGGGTCAGCGTGAAGCCCAACCCCAGCCCCACTTGGGAAAGAATCCCCGGACATAGCCAGAGAGGCAAGAGGCCCTGTGGGTCTCCTGGTGGCAGCATCCCCCACCACAAGACAGGAAGAGCCTGGGAGGGACAGGGAAGGTGGGAACTGTCCTTGGAAATATCACGACATGGGCTCACGCTGGAGGCAGATTTTCTTGCTCCATTTGCAGAGAGGAATAACATTATTCTCCGCACTTCCTGTGAGTTTCTGAGCACCAAAGGCGCCCTGGTTAGGAAAGGCCTGGGCTGAGCGCAAGGACTTGCCCCTGCTCAAGGAAACAAGTCGGGGTGGTTTCCCAGGAATAATTCCTCTGCAGCTGCTGCCTTCATCCTGGCTAATTATTCTGTTTTAATGAGTTCTTCTATCTTTATTTTACGTTTTTAAAAAATCTTTTATTTATTTAATACAGGGTCTCACTATGCAGCTCAGACTCATAGTGATCCTCCTGTCTCAGCCTCCCCAGTGCTGGGATTACATGCATGTGCCACCACACCCAGTTTTGGTGGCCAGCTCAACGTGCCTGTGGTTTCAGGGCCAGCATGGCATGTGGTGCCAGGGATCGAACCCAGGTCCTTGAGCTCATCAGGCAGGTGCTTAAACTACCGAGCTGTCTCCCAGCCCCTCTTCTACTTTTTATTTAATTGTGTCTCTTCAGCAGAAATGAAAAACAAACATCCTGTTTGTGAACCTATCAACTTGAATCATATTCCTGGGCCTTATTCCCTTCCTGAAAACAGAAGCTATTCCCATCCAGTTGGATGTTCAACAATAAGCAATGGGAAAGAAATAGCATTAAAATATAAAGAAGCCTGTTCAGGGGCCGGCCAAATAGCTCAGCAGATTAAAGTGCCCGCAAGCAGGTGCAAGGGCTGGGGGCTCAATCCCAGGGCCTGCTGCGCCGGCCCCCGCCGCTAGGGGATGCTGAGATAGCAATTGAGATGGGTGTGGTGGCGCGCACCTGTAATCCCAGCTCTTCAGAGGCTGTAAACAGGCGGATCACTATGAGTCAGATCTAGTAGTGAGGCTGTGAACACCCTGTAGACCCTTCCCTAAAATACAAAAAAAAAAAAAAGACTGTTCAGCCAGTTCGAGTGAAGAGCATCCCACGACTTCGGGGGAGGGGGTGAGGCAGGAGTGGGAGGAGGGGTTCCATGTGGCCTGCTGGGTCCCAGACCTGGGCTCAGGCTCCCCAACAGGCACATACAAAAGTGCCCTTGCACAGGACGAGAGGAAATCTCTCAGTATCACCAGGGGCTACCACTTTGGCTAGTTTTAGTCACCCTTTAGGGTCCCCAAAAAATTCTATTGGTGATAATTTTCAGCATCCACTTATTTGGGACTTTAGGATAGACAACCTTGGGCTTGAATTTGGAATAAAGAAACAGATTTGGGAAAACCATGTGCCTTGTCCTGGTTGGCACAGATTGCTGCAGGTAAAACTAAGAAAGGCCAGGAGAAGACAGTACAGGACAGAGAGGGTAATAAAGGAGGAAAAATCAAGCTCTTTTACCTGGAAGATGCAGAACATTTGCAAGATCTACCCGCGGCCTTGGAGCAGTCGTCCTCGTGTCCTAGGCGGCCTCTCTTTGGTTCCTAGGTGCTTCATAGAAACTCCAGAGCACAGCGGGACGGCCCTGATTCAGTCCAGGACAGGGCGCACAGGGTGGGGCCGTGAGATGAAAACCAGCCCACAAAGTCTGTCTGCTAGAGAGAGAACTACCGCGTCCCCCAAGACAGGAAAAGGCGACGTGTATGGGTTTCCTTGTGCAGCGGGCCTCGGAGGGAAACCCTGACCCGGATACCAGAGGAAACAGCAGCGCAGCTGCCCCTTCCTGCCACCCCTGTGAGACACTTTTGGGCAAAACAAATGCTCTACCAGCAATAAGAAGGGAACAGCGATCCCGAGCGGCCGACACACCTGGGCCATCGAGGTATCCGTGGCAGATTTCATTTCTACAGGAACCAGGGAGACATGTGAGCCCAACGTGGTGTGCCCTAGGCCCGGCAACACTCGGCACGGGCCTGGCAGAAGGAAGAGCTTCTCCAGTTGTCTGAGCAGTTGGGTTCAGATGAATTTTTTTAAAGAGAAACCAAGCAGATACAACTAACTCTCGGATCCCAGCTTCAGTTAGAAAGGAAGGCAGGTCTGACTCACGTACCCCATGCAGCTCACGTCTCACAAGGAAAGGCTAAGCCTGACTTCCAAACTACTCTTCTGGGCCAGGGAGAGGGCTCAGCGGAATAAGCACTTCCCTGGCAAGTTCAAGGACCTGGGTTCAATCCCCAGTTCCACAAAAAAAAAAAAAAAACAACCTACTCTTCTATATTGCTCCTGCAATTTTAACTTTTCCCGGTATAACCACTGCCACCCTGGATAAGGTGGACGCAGGCCCACCTGCTCAGGAGAGCAGACGGGCTTGTAGATTACAGAAAATACTGTCTACTCTTTGCTATCTAAAATGTTCTAAAAAAAATCCTTCTCAACTTTTGGGGGCCTGCCGGTTAGCTCAATTGTTTAAGCACCTGCTTATGCAAATGTAGTCAGGCACAGATAGTATATAGCAGTTTGATCCCCAGACTAGCCCTTAAGCCTGAGCCAGTAAAAAAAAAAAATCCTAAGATGTTCTGCTTTGCTTTTGAGACAGGGTTTTGCTGTGAAGTTCAGATTAGCCTCGAACTCCCTTTGTACCCCAGACTGGCCTCGAGCTCGCAGTGATCCTCCTGCCTCAGCCTCCCAAGGGCTGGGATTACAGGTGTGCATCACCACATCTAGCTCTAAAATGTTCTGATATCTCACTTTTGCTAGAAAAAAAAATTACAAAGGGCTAAAAATCAATTCCTCTAAAACAAAAATAATCATTTGGGGAAATGTGTATGTGCTTTAACGGTTTACCATATCTTTATACCCAAGGCCAGCTCACCAAGACATCTTAGCATGTGCTTTGTGACAACTTGATGTACAAGAAAGGCATCGTACCTCACGGGCCGTGTCGGCCTCTGCGGTTCTGCCAGCCTGGGTACGCACGGGCTAGCACGGTGTGTCCTAGTCACGGGAGAACGCTGGGTCCCGATCAGCTCCACGCTGTGCAGTAGAGAGAATGCAAACCAGTTGCCGAGAGAAGAATCTCGACGGCATCCCTGGCATGGTCTCCAGGCTGAAATTGGACGCCCACCTACTTGGGTCAGTTGAATGTGTTTTCCTCTAACCTCCTGGTTCCTATATTTGGTTGATTTTTGTGTTGTTATTTATATTTCCCTCATTATTGATTAAATAAAGTCCTGTGTGTTATAGATACAAAATACTGTGTTGCAGCCATGGACAATCTTTTTCTGCCCCATTTCCACATTCTGAGATCTGTGGCCTCCTCTTTTGTGGTCAGTGTCAGCTGGTGCTGGCTTTCCAAGGGCAAGCTCATCTAATTGCTGGTGAGAGATCTAACAGCGATAGAGATCTAACAGTGACAAAGAGATGCTGTTACTTGCCCCACAGCCACAGAGCGAAATAGCAAATATGATTCCTACAAGAAACTGTGAACTATCTAGTGTACAAAAATCGTGGCTTCATCCTTGAAAATAAGCTTTCCTCTCCAAAGGTCTTCTAGAGAATTCGCACGGGCTCACTTTCACAGTGTGGTTTCTAGTTGCCAATCTGCCCATTTCTACGACCAAGTAAAATAGTCCAAGAATGTGAGAATCAGGTTTCATTTAAATCCACAGCATGCTATTTGTTTCTCAATAAAATTATGGAAAAAAATAAAATAAAATGAAAACTAAATCCACAGTACGTACAGTAAAACAGAACCGCTGATCTTCGGCAAATGTCTTGCAAATTGCTCCCCCTGGTGTTCGTCTCTTAAATCTGCTGTGGTGAGTTCTGTCTGGAAATTGGGGGGCATCATGGTGGGTAAAATACGCTCCAACCCTATTTTTCTAGTGGTAATATGTACTTTAACATAGCAGAAGCTGGCTGTTAATATAGGTGGCTGCGCTGGGGGAATGGAAGAGGCTGACTTCGGGCTCACCCGGTTGGCACGAGGAGCAGCAGGATGCCCGCGTGTGTGTCTAAGTGTAACTGCGTATTTTGGTCCATAATGTGCCTGTACAGCTTTGTATATTTATACTGCTCGTTGCTCTTTCTTTTGTCTTTTCTTGTCAGAGTAGCCCAATTCAGTAGTGGTGCCTAAAATCCACTTGGGGGTAAAACTGAACAGAAAGCCAGCACTGCAGTCCAACACCGGAAACGGTCATGGGTGACAGGCCACAAACTGTGCCGAAACACACTAACAATGAAACACAGGCGAAGCATTCCATGGGCATCAATAGTAACATGTCACTTATTGTGACAGGTCACTATCAAAACTAAAGAAGTACATTGCAGGACTTTATCATTGTGATTTTCAGAGTCTAAAGGATTTATGAACAAGTGACAGATGTGGAAATGACATTCTTAAGACAATAATGACACTCAAGAGACTTGATTTCTTTCAAAATTGCCTACACTCTGAGTTCTAAAAGGCCCAACAAGAAAGAAAAAGAGAGAAAAAATCTGATAATTTGACTGTTATTCACTCAGTTTTTGAGGGCTTTTTGGTTTTTAGGGGTTTTGTTTGTTTGTTTCGGAACTGGGGATTGAACTCAGCCCCTTGCACTTGCCAGGCAAGCGCTTATTTTACTGAGCTATCTTTCCAGCCCTATTCACTCAGTTTTTAAAATCTTTGTTTCAAATTGTCAAGCAATTTGTACACCATCAAAATACATGAAAAGTGACAAATAGCTTGCATCATTCTGTGATTGTTGAAGGTTTCAGCAATGTATGCTGAATAAAGCTTCCAAACATGAGATAAAAATACATATGCCCTGGTAGATGTGAAGACATTTCACATCTTGGATTTTGAAATTTATCCTGGAACTCAGTCACCAGGTCTTTACCCATGCAGTAATAACCTGTATGGCACTGTGTTTGTTTGTTTCTACGTATTTGGCACAGGGCCTCACTGTGCAGCTCGGACTCATACTGATCCTCCTGTCTCAGCTTCCCCAGTGCTAGGATTACAGGCATGTGCCACCACGCCCGGTTTTGGTGGCTGGCTCAGCGCTCCCGGGGGCGGGGCTGGTGAGGCATGTGGTACCAGGGATCAAACCCTGGTCCCTGCTCTCGCCTAAGCAGGTGCTTACTTTGCTGCGTTGTCTCACTGACCTTAAACTGTCTGACCTTGTGAACAGACCTGTTGGACCTATTTCCAAAAGTAACCCAAATGTCATATTTGACAATTGGTTCATGAGTCACCCACTGATGGTACATTTGCTTTAAAAAACAAAAAACAAAGACCAGTCGACCAGCACAGGAGCTATACACAAGAACAAAGCTGGGATTCCTGAGAAAAGGTAGCAAGTTGACACCAGAGCAATGTATAATACAGCCTTCAGCTATCAGAAGGACCCAACATTGGCCTCCTGGATGGCGAAGAAGAGCAAAGTAGTCTGATATTCCCAACATCACACCATGATGCAAAGGCCGACAGTGCAGCTGGACCTGGCGGAGCACACTGAAAGAACCTGGGTCTTTTCTATCAAAATATAGACAAGAGATGATCTCCCTCTTGGATTCTAGACCGCCCTAGGTGGCCCCTCCTGAACACACAAAGTTATGAAAAACACCCGCTCTGCTTAAATTCTGAGGATACAGCTACAAAGACAGCTTATCAACGCCAAGGGCTTTCTCTTCCCCACTCCCCTCTTCCCTCTCTTCTTTCTCCTCAGCAACCCTTCAGCTTCCCCGATCCTTGCCATTTAA